TGTGTGGGTTGTTAAGCCTAGCTCCATCAGTAAGCCTCTTGCCCAAAGGCACTCAGCTCTCCTGCTGTGTGGGTTGTTAAGCCTAGCTCCATCAGCGAGTGCCTGGAGCACCCCGCTCTGCTAACAAGCTTCCTGCCCAAAGATGCTCAGCTCTCTTGTTCCGTGGGTTGGCACACTTACTATAGCCACCTTGCTCAGTGGACTTGGAAGCCCACCATGCCATCTCAGGCCACTCTCCTGATTCTGCTGCCACCATCTCTCTGCTTCCATTTCTCACCATCTTGTGCCATCTTGGGTGCTACAGCTCTCTCTGTGTCTCCTGGGTATAGCAGGTTCTCAGCATAGGGACCCTGGGTCCAAAGGACATGGTCTGTTCCTGACTCTTCTTTCTTGATGGTAGTAAGGTTTTCCCTTCTCATACCTGGGATGGCTCATTTTAAGCTCAGCAGGATGTTAAAACTGACCAATCCCCTTGTTTGGATTCCACATACCTTATTTGCATGATCCCATCCCCACAAGGATTCTATGCACCTTATTTGCATTGTTAGCAAGCTGTCCAATCCCCATCCAATCATTTAGTGGGAGTCACAAACCATGAAGGGTTCAAAGGGCCATGTTAAGTAGACTCTATGTTGTACTGCACATTCCTGACACCCACGTGAAATCCACAAACTTAAATTTATTTTAAAAAAGTAAAGAACAAAGAATAAAATGAAGCAACATGTAGGTTTGGGTTTTTAAATAAATATCAAATATTTTCAAATACTACTGAGGAAAGATTTCAAGGAGGGCAAAATAGACTCTTGGAAGGAGTAAGAGTTAATACTTAGGTATCTACCGGGTGAAAGTTCATAAAAACTCATTTCTCCTTACTTTTCCTCACTTCCTCATTCAATTTCCAAAGACATATGTTACTGGGAAAGAGCACGGATAGAAGCTGCCTTCCTCAGGGTCCTTACACACAGGAAGGACCTGTGAGCTTTTGTCCAGAATGGGCATAAGACCTACCTTGCTGATCATAACTATTTCAGCAGGACATAATTAAAACATCTCCTCCAAAGTTTCTCAAGTAGAAAGAGCTAATTTGCATGTTACTTAAATGTTAAATTCAGCCTCAAGTTATCTACTGAAGTTGCTGGATTATAAGAAGTAAGCACTTATTAAAAGTATGGGTATTAGTTTACACCAATGGAAGGTTATCAACTATTTTCAGAGACTACCTCAAATACAGCACATTACATGAAGCTTGTTTCAATGGCTTAAGAAATCACATAAACTGGCATATTAGCTTGTGCTTTCCAAATTCTCATTTTCTAAGTGTGTTGTTTCTCTGTGTTGCTGTGAGCAGCATTTTGCAATGGTACAGAAAAGTCAGAAAGTAGAATAATTCATTTTTTCAAGAAATGTTTATCCAAATACCTATTATGGTGCAAGATGCTGTTAGCAGTGGGAATTCAGAATATCCTACCCACATGGAGTGTATAGTCTTGAGGGGGCGGGAGCAGACAACAGATAATGATAGAGATAGACAGACAGACAGATAGATGATAGATAAAACTGCCGTGTGTTAAATAGTGGCAGGGGTGGGAGAAACAGAAAGCCTCGATGAGTGTAGGGAGTATGTGTGTTTAGGTGTGGAGGGGTCTGCAGTTCAAATAGGGTGGCCAGGGAAGACCTCACTGAGAAGGTAGCATGTGAAACTTGATCTGAAGCAGCTGAGGAACAACTTGTGTGGGAAGAGCATTCCAGACAGAGGGAAGAGACAGTGCCAGACTCCGAGAAGGATGTGCCTTCCGTGGTTGAGGAAGAGTGAGGAGGCCTCTGTGACTAGAGCTCAGGGAACAAGGGGCAGAGACAGGTCCACATTATCTGCATTTTTGCAACCCAAAAATGTCTGTCGGGGGGGCGGGGGGAGTGAGTGAGTGGCTTGTTTGGGCATTTGTTTTTTAGTCTGTAGCCAACTCATCTGGCAGAAAAAGATGTTTTTAGTCTGTTTAAGGTCTTTACCCCACTTAGTGTGAATAATCATGTATTTTACTCAAGAAATATTTGTGTATTTGTTTATGGGTGCTGCCCATATCCCCCTGGGGGGTTATGTATTACACAGTATATTTACCATAGTACTTTTCTAAAATCTGAATTTTGGAAAGCATGTGGTCCCAAGGGCATTGAATAAGGATGGTAGCTGGGTACAGAGGATCATGTGAGAGAGGACTAAAGCACCGTTAGGTCTCTGGATTTTACTCTGAAATAAGATGGAAAGTCACTGTAGCAGAAAAGTGACCTAGACTGCATTAGCTAGGCTCCTGTGTTGAGAACGGATTGAAGCAGAGCAACAGCAGAGGCAGTGACCAGCTAGGAGGCTATTGTAATAAACCAGGTAGGAGACTATGCTGGCTAAGCCAGGGGTACTGGTAACGGAGGCAGAGAGAAGTGGTGAAGTTTTGGATATACTTTGAAGAGGATCCAAAAAGTTTGCTGATTGATTATAGTGAGATGTGACAGGAAAAAGTCAAGAACGATGCAAAGGTTTTTGGCCTGAGCAAATGGAACACTAGAGATGCCATTAACTGGAACGGGGAACACTTCCAGAGAAGCAGGTGTCAGAATAGAGACCAACAGCCCAGTTTTGGACATATTAAGTTTGATATGAATTAGATATCCATATGGAGATGTCACAGAGGAAACTGGATATATGAGACTGGAATTCAAGGGAGAAGTTTGGCTGGAGATATGAATTTGGAAGTCATTAGCATAAAGATGGATTTAAAGCCATGAGTATGGATGAGATCACCAAGGGCATGAGTGCAGGTAGAGAATAGGGAAGGTCCAGGGCACGCCATTATTAGAAAATCAGGAAGATGAGAGGAACTAGCACAGGAGATGGCGAAGAACTTGTAGTGAAGTAGGAGGAAATCTACGAGAAGGTGGCATCCAGGAAGCCAACTTAAAAAAGGACTGTCAGGGGAGGGAGTAATCAAGAGAGCCAAATACTGCAAGGTCCAACTAGATGAAGATGGAGAATTGACCATCGGCTTATCAGCATGGAATAACTGATGATCTTGACAAGCGCAGTTTCAGTACAATGCAGGGGTGAGACCTGACTAGACTGAGCTAAAGAAAGAAGTGGGGTGGGGGGGATTGATTAGGAAAGAGCAATATAGGTAACTTTTATGTGGAGTCTTAAAGATGGAAGAAATAACAACCTGTTTGTGTGCTGATGGAAATGACCCAGTAGGGTGAAGGAAACCTGGTGAAATGGGAACAAGAAGGGAGCATTGCTGAGCATTATCCTTGAGTAGGTGAGAGGGCATTTGGTCTAATACATAGGTAGAAGGTTGGCCTTTGCTTGGGACAAGGATAGTTCATCTCTTGTGAACAGAGAGAAGGCAGAGTGTTTGGGCAGATATATGCAGGTAGCTGGGTAGAAATGGTGCTGGGAGCTTATAGAAAGTCTCTTCTCTTTGTTTCTATTTTCTTAGTGAAATACTTATTTCATCAGTTAAGTCATCAGTTAAGACTATGTTTAGGCAAGGAGGTAGAGGTTTGATTAGTGAACAGAATGAAATAGCCAGGAGCCTGGGAGACTGAATGGCCTAGGGAAATATGGTAAGATGCCTGGGTGGCTTTAGGGCCCCTTTAGTTTAATGATCATGAATTTAAAGAGAGACAGTCAGCATCACATGCGTTTTTCTCCAGGAAAATTTAGCTGCACAGGTGCAAGCTGAGTGTTTTGGATTGAATTGTGTCCCCTCAAAGTATGTGTCAACTTGGCTGGGCCACGATTCCCAGTGTATGTAATTACCCTCTGTTTTGTGATCTGATGTGATACTGTGTGTTGTAAAGCCTAACCTCTGTGACGTTAATGAGGCAGGGTACAATCTACAGGATTAGTTGTATCTTGAGTCAATCTCTTTTGAATAAAAGAGATGTAATAAGCAAGCAGAGATCCAGGGAGACCTCCTACCTTCAGAAAGGAAGAGCCAGGAGGAGAACACCCAGGGTCCCAGCCCTGAGAACCTCCGAGACCCGGAGTCTAGGAGTCTGATGACAGGACGTTCCTCCAGAGTTGACAAGAGAGAGAAAGGATTCTCTGTAGTTAGCATCCTGCATTCAGACTTCTAGCCTCCTAAACTGGGAGAGAATTTTTGTTTGTTAACATGACCCACGTGTGGTATTTCTGCATCCTGAAACTTGCCAGCCTAACTGTTCTCAGCATTGTCAAGACTGTTGTAGGAGCACTAGAAAACTAAGACACAGGCAGTAGGTGAAGTGTTGGGTTTCATCAAGGTCCTGGTTACATCAGGTAAATCGAGTGTCAGAAAAGTCCACGATGTATGCCAAGAAGTGATTACGGTGATCGACCACAGGGTTTAAACTGTGTAAGGAAGAAAGTAAAGCAAGATGGATGCCAAATAACATGTCTTCTTTTTAAAACAAAACATACAGTTATATAAAATTTAAATAAAACATATATTTCTACACCCCACAGATGTCCATTATACTGCTGCCATAACTTAAAAAACGGAATCCACATTAATTTGCATTATTACCTTTTCAGCACATACTTTAAATTTGTTACATACCTGCATTCAGCCTTCTGGTACCTGACATTTTACAATTTGTGCCTAATATAATTAGCTTTCAAACAAAAGTCACCCCCTGTTGTAAAGCAAGTATTTCTGAGACCTTCAAGGGAAGTCTTATCAATCACGATTGTGTCCTTCGAGCTAAACACAATGCCTGACACATAGTAGGTGATTGTTGAATGAACTTATGTCTTGTCAAGAGTGGATTTTGAGAGGTGAGCTGTGAGTGGAGATTGCAAAGGGGGCACTGAGCTCCAGCAGGAGAAGGTGCTAACAGGAGAAAGGAAGCGACCAGGGCAGACTTGTGCCAGTTCTCATTCTGTCCTAGAGCTCGCCAGCCTAACTGCTTTCAGTATTCAGTCAGGACTACACTGGGGCAAGCAAGACAGGGCACAGTGCCGGGCAGATGCTCCACACATATTTGTTAAAGGGATGGACTAAAACAATGAAAACTAATGATAACTCCATCTTCTTCATTTTTATCCCACAGAGGAGAGCTGGAAAGAGTGACTGATAGTCAGAGGCTGGCCACTGCCATCAACTAGCACTGACACTTTATGCAACCTCTCTGGGCATTGCTTTCTTCACCTGTGAAAACAAGAGCTAATGTTTATTTATTGATTGCATACTATTAATATGGACCAGATCCTGTGCTTGACATTTTGTATGTAATTAATTTATTTCACAACCCTACAAGGTTG